ATCTACGCTAAATTACATAAGTAGAACGTAACACGTCCAACTCCTCGCGAAAGGGTTAAACCACCCTTTAAAAACGAAAACTAAAATCAATCCAACCACACTCCTACAGTTAAATCCACAGCCCTCCTACTTCACAAACGCACTCCAACAACCACAAAAGCACACTATCGCTTTTCCCCGGAAAATTCCAACCAGCGAACATCGTACGGAATCGGCAAAACCTGTCGGTATCTATCCTAAAAAGTTCCAAAGTACCTCGCAACAAATCCAAAGGCAGGAACAGCGATAAACGTTCGTCAATCCAGTTGAAAGTTTCATCGGGAAACGACACCGTGCTACGGTAGGTCGATTGGCGCGCACAGTTTCGCGTAGAATTACGAGCACGAATGGCAATATCAATTTCAATCGCGAGCAAACTTTATCAAAGGTCGCTGTCCCGCGTCCCATTTGTATCGCGCGCCAGTTTGATTCGAGGCACGTCGACGAACCAACCGAGCCGCGCCGTTCAAGCGAGACGTTTGCATATTCAGTTCAATTAAACGGCTGCCAGCTTAATCGGCAAACAGCGACGAGATACGACCGACCGGAAGCGAAAGACTTCCCTCCCTGCCCCCCCTTAGGCAGCGTAAACTTCTTCGCGAAGAAGGGGAGGAGAGGCGGGCAGCCTCGAAAAGAGACGGATAGGCTAAGAAGCGAGAGGAGGAGGGCCTTCTTCGGAAACTCGGAATGCTAATGCAATCACCGGAGTTTCGAGCAACTTTTTCTCCGTCGAATCGCGATTCGTGAAACTGGATAGCTTTGGTGAACGGGGAGAGACGAGGGGGAGAAAGGAAACTAACGAGAAAAATAGAAAGACGAGTGGAAAAGTTGGGATTCGTGGTTGTATCGGTGGAAATGTTCGACACTGGTTAATGGAACAATCGGGGATATTCGGGGAACTACGGGTCGTTTCAAAGGGAGTGTGAAATTTCTTTTGCGGAAGGGCGAGCCTTTGGTAGAAGGCTCAATTAGATTTGACGTTGTTTTTGACTTTCGGAAAATTCATCTCTGACGGTGGAGGAATAGCAACAAGTAGTAGAGGATTCAAGGATGATCAAGTTTAGGTAACTACAAGGCAGAACAGTACAATTCAGGATTAACGGGGAAAAGATGAGTCTAGTTAAGAAACGGGACAGAGATAGATTGCAATTAAAACATTTAAATAACACAATCGTACAAAGTACGACAAGAATGATCAATTGTAAAATCCAACTACCTTTGTTCCACAAAATAATCCTAACCTCACCCCAATAAACCGCAGCAACGAAAGAAACACCTCCATCGACATTCTCCTGCAACCCACAGCCTCCTAAATCAAGCTCAGAAAAATTCCCCAAATCTCGCCACCAGGTGCACAAACACCCGAAGAAACACTTAACCACCAGCGTAAACTCTACCGAATCAATCCTAGTAACATTTTCCCCCCAGCGCGTGTGATTAATTGATAGCCATCTATCTTCATTTGATCCTCGTTAGTGTCGCTTTTTCTCCATGCGGGAAAACATGCGAACTAGCTCAGGGTGGAAACGATGGAGCAGGGTGAAAAAAGGTAGAAGTCGATCGAGAGAGTAGTATCGGCGACGATTAATCGAGTAAACTGCGAATCCCTCCAGCACACCGTTGCTTCGATTACACGCCTCTTCTCTCTAACCGACCCTTTTCTCTTCCCATTTCTGATTGCAGAACACCCTCGAAAATGAGAAACGAGAGGATGTCGAGGCTCGCCGGTATAGCGATCGTGGTGGCGATCACGATCCACGGTTGCTTCGCGGAACTGTACACCGCGTTGGCGGACATGGAGGAGCTGCTGGAAACGGAGGCGGTGCTGATCGACACGCTCAACGGCTACATTAAAGCGCAGGAAGAACGTCTGGCCACTCTGAGAAAGTGAGTTTTACGAGTCCTGCGATTATGTGTGTAGCACGGCGGTCATGTGCCGGTTTCGGCCGCGTTAGTCAGCTTTAACGAGCTCGTTCCCCGACACAGACGACGATCGTTTCGTTCGTTCGCGAAACATCTATTTTAGAACGTCGTTAACCGGAGGATACGGACGATGAATATGGCCGGTGATTAAGTTCTACCGTTCGTTAGACACGATCGACGTTAGGGGACTTCGCAGCTACCTACTTGGCTCGGTTCAAAGTAGTTTTTTCAAGATTCTTCGATTGTTCTTGGAATTTTTAACAAGGGAGAAGTATTTACCGAGCTTTGGATATTTAAGCTGCAAGTGTAGGAGAAAGTTTCGGAGGCTTGCGAAGTCTCAAAGAGACTGGAAGCATTAAAATTCCAGAGAAGTTGGGAACTTCTCAAAGACTAGATACCTCGAACGTTCGAATTTGTCTAAGATTTGAGATATCGAGAGATCGAGATCTTCAAGTTTCACAGGGGCGAGGATTCAAAGGTTGAAATTTGCCAACTTCATGATTGTACACGGAAGAAAGCTGCTGTGAAATATTCAACGACGGAGTCTACGTAGGTAGGTACTCTTTGGCGAGAAAGTAAATCGTTGGTTAACGAGGAAAACGAACGCGACGATCGAGGTGAAACGGGCGAGTCTTTGATGAAAGAGATAGAGAGGCCACATGCGTCAGAACTGGGCATAATCTGAAGATTTAGTAGCGGGTTATTAAGCGAGCATCGAGAGGAACGTTAAACGGTGAACGCGTGTCCGTAAATTTTCCTCTGGATCCGAACCCGGCAATTATACAGCGGGGGAAAGCTCGAAACGGGATTCGACCGTCGGATTATCGGATATTCCCCGGCTATTGGATGATACTCTTAGAAATAGCCCGATATAATTTTACCGCGAAAGCTGCTCGTTGCACGATCAAATTCCGCTCCAGCTTTTATTCATTCGAAGCCTAGGTAATCTTGTCTTTTTGAACCTCTCTTCCGTCTTTTTTCTTTATTTTCTCCCTTTTCGGGGTCGGTAATTGGAAAAGGTACGATGAGTTATTGTCGATTGCTATATGCAGCCTTCGTCGAAATTATTTACCCTGTAACGTTCACGTTTTTCTCAACTTTTGATACGACAAACGAAGTCAATTTCTTTCGTTCTTTGAATTATTTTCCGGGCGCGTAGAAATAAGTGTCCTGTTATTTATAATACTGTAACTTACGTTTGCTTGCCGTAACAGAAAGAATAACGCAATATGGAGAGTGAAAGAAAATAGTTTTAGAAAAGTGCATTTTCTGGACGATTAACGGGTTAAGCACCGCATTAAATACCAATTATTTTGAAATATTTTTACACCGAGAGAAAATCGCGCTATTGAAACGTGAGAATAATATTTTTTTACGAACTCTGTCGATATTATTTTGTTTCAACGAATATTTGACAATCGCACGGTAATTCTTTTTCCGACTTAAAAAACTGGTTAAAATATTCGCTAACTCGTTTTTCGCGGGTTCCGACGAATCTGAAATCACTCGACGATTCATCCTCCGTGAATGAAAAAAGGAGAGAAAACAGAGAGAAGAGGAACGAAAAAGAGGTTTCCTTCAAATTCGAGTCAGCGAGGCTGCAATAATCGAATGTTCGTTGTCGCATTCGCGGCACGTTCGGTTCCATTTTTTTCGGGGGTCGCCAGACAAAAGCGCGAGCAAGAATATAAAAAAGATTTCCCCTATATCCTCTCTTTCCTCTCCGTCCAATAATTCCCTCTCGTTCTTCTCCCGCCGCTCGTTTTTATCTTCCCCGGGGTGTGATTTGGCGCGTTGCCCGACTCGATACCGATGCCTCGGCCATTTCGAGGGCAACGTGGATATAAGAGGAGCCGGGACCTGGCGGAAAACGTTGAAAACGTGGCTCTGCCGGACCACCTTCCTCTCTCTCCCTTGCTTTTCCTCTTTCGCGTGTTCCTCCAAGGGGAGATCCCTGTCTAGAGAGAGATTCCACGAAGGGAACTCGCGACGATCTCGTTCACGGTGCCGCAATATTTCCGTGACTACGACTGTCCCTTCTACTTTTAATCCGACCACCGTGTAATTACTTTTCGGGGAAATTGATCACGCCATATCTTCCTTCTTATTTCGCCGTCTGACGGAAGATATCGGTGGGTTTCTTTTCGAGTTGAATGATCGGTGACCGGCGAAGATTAGTGAAAGCGTTTAGTTTGAATAAATGGTGGTATTTGTCAAACTTTTATTTAACGCGTCGCAGAGCATATTTAAATAGTTCGATTTCTAAGTGTTGACACGTGGTTTATGCATACTGGGATGTGTTGGATTTAGATAAAAATTTCATTTCGGCACCGTGGACGAGTTACGTAGAATTGCTCCGGCACTCAACGTGTTAACCCTTTGTTGGGTGTGACTCGACGTCAATTTTATTCGCAGGTACTCCTACGTCGGTCACACTTTTAAATTGCCAGTTTAAATATGTATTACATTTCGCAATATTTGTTTTATACTTAGATAAGCAACGTTACGCGTATACGACCTGAGGTGGGTGAGGAACGTCGTTGCACTGTTTTCACCTCAATTTATTAAAATACAAGTGTTATGGTCGGCGTACAATTCGCCCGGAAAATACAATCGTTTCATTCGTTAATTGTCCCTGCGGCAGCGGTTCGGTGGGCAGAAGAAAAACTGAACCGGGGTGTAGGTGTGCTGGGTTTTCATATTGGTAGGACAGAGAGACAGGGGTAGAGATAGATAAAGGTAGAGGATGCCACATGTGCGCTTCTTAGGTTCCTCGAGGACGGAGGCAAGTCTTAACCCGGGGAGAGACGAAAGAACGGAAGGAGTTGGAAGAGAGAAAGCTCGCGTGGAAGAATGGAACGAGGTTCGGTAAGGGTTTGTTGACGACGACGTACCCGCCACAGACCCTTTTTTGTAACAAAAGAAAGTGCAATTGTTACAGAAAAGTGTCATATATGCACTACCGGGCAAAAGTTTCTAATTCTTTGCAGATTTGAAATTGATGTTGCGGAGATAGATAACACTTTACCTTATCCCGATTGATTTGAACGAGGAAAAATTGGTTAAAATATTCTTGAAATTGTTCACTTTCCTCCTGGAAATTTTTCTATAACTTGTGTAGTGTATGTAACGAAGCAATTGTTTACATTGCTTCCTGTCAACTTTTTAAATAAAACCCTTAAACTGACGCGGAGTTACTGGAAAGAAAACGAGAAAAGAATTCAAAGGGTTAAAGTTGTTCCATGTTACTTTATTTCAAGATTTTTCGAGGGATTTAAAAAAAATTCGGAATTTCAACGAGAAACGTGCGAAAGTTTGAATTGTACGAATGGAACATTTCAGTATTCGAATGTTCGACGGAGAAAAACAGGGCGATGGAGCATTACAGGTGAAAAAGCAATAAAACTGTCGAGCAGCTTTTCACGGGTTGGGAGGGAGAGGAGGAGAAAAAATCGCGGACGAGGATGGAAGTCACGAAGCTTTCACGATCTCTCCCGCACACGCGTGCGTTCGACACTCATTCAAACTCTCTAATCGCAATCGAGTCACGTGCCAGCCATTCGAGTAACGCTCGCCAAAATTTCCTTCGAATAACCATTGTTGCTGTCAGTTACATCCAACCGGAGCCGAGGTTAGGGGAATCCCAATGCCCGCATTAATAGCTCAGTTACTAAGGATTTACATTCGATGATTCTTCGAGTAAGGAAGGGCGGAAAATGTGATTTCGAAGGAGTCATTCCGAGCTCCTTGTGTAACAAGTATTACATAAAAAATTGATATAATGGAGATTTAACAAGTTGAAAGAATATTTCACTAAAATTTGAGACCAATTTCCCTCGTAAAATCGAAAAGAGAAATTATCATAATGAAAATTGTTGAATTAATTATGATTGCAAGGGAATTGTATTTTACTTAAAAAATATTGATACAATAGAGATTATAATTGGAGATTTAACGAGTTGAAAGAATATTAGACTAGAATTTGAGACCAATTTCCCTCGTAAAATCGAAAAGAGAAATTATCATAATGAAAATTGTTGAATTAATTATGATTGCAAGGGAATTGTATTTTACTTAAAAAATATTGATACAATAGAGATTATAATTGGAGATTTAACGAGTTGAAAGAATATTAGACTAGAATTTGAGACCAATTTCCCTCGTAAAATCGAAAAGAGAAATTATCATAATGAAAATTGTTGAATTAATTATGATTGCAAGGGAATTGTATTTTACTTAAAAAATATTGATACAATAGAGATTATAATTGGAGATTTAACGAGTTGAAAGAATATTAGACTAGAATTTGGAACCAATTTCTTTCGTACAATCGAAAAGAGAAGTGATCGTAATGATGAATTGTGTTACTTAAGAAATATTAATCTAATGGAGATTTAACGAGTTGAAAGAATATTAGACTAGAATTTGAGACCAATTTCCTTCGTAAATTGGAAAGAGAAATTATCGTAATGATGAATTGTTGAATTAATTGTAATTTCAAGGGAATCGTATTTTACTTGAAAAATATTGATACAATAGAGATTATAATTGGAAATTTAACGAGTTGAAAGAATATTCGCCTAAAATTTGGAACAAATTTCCTTCGTACAATCGAAAAGAGAAGTGATCGTAATGATGAATTGTGTTACTTAAGAAATATTATTCTAATGGAGATTTAACGAGTTGAAAGAATATTAGACTAGAATTTGGCACCAATTTCCCTCGTAAAATCGAAAAGAGAAATTATCATAATGAAAATTGTTGAATTAATTGTGATTGCAAGAGAATCGTATTTTACTTGAAAAATATTGATACAATAGAGATTATAATTGGAGATTTAACGAGTTGAAAGAATATTAGACTAGAATTTGGAACCAATTTCTTTCGTACAATCGAAAAGAGAAGTGATCGTAATGATGAATTGTGTTACTTAAGAAATATTAATCTAATGGAGATTTAACGAG